TTGGAACCAGAGCGGGAACCCGTAACAAAACCGGCGACGGAACCGGTAAACAAAAACGGCGTTGGAACTTGCAAAACAACGGCGAAACGGAACCGGCAAAAAAACGGCCCTGTCGTTTCCAGGGCCCACTAAGGCTAGTGCCCGTCGTGTCACTGGTGGCCGCCGTGGTGGCCAACGACGTGGCACTCGAGGCAGCGCTCGTCCCTCTTGTGGGCGTCAAGAGCACAATGATGGGCCCGTTTTCCACCACCACCACCATAAGTTGGAGGGGAAGGGGGTTCTCCTCCTCCTTTTCCTCCTTTTCCTCCTCCTCCTCCTCCTTCTCCTCCTCCTCTTCCTCCTCATCCACATCCTCCTTCTCTCCTCCTCCTCCTCCTCCTCCTCCTCATCCTCCACCTCCTTCCCACCTCCAACTTATGGTGGTGGTGGACGTCAACGAGCACAGTGCTCGCGTCCCCGAGGCCACGGCCCCTCGAAGATGATGCAGTAGTCGCGTGCCTGAGGCCGCGGCCCCCATAAGCGACACCATGTTCGTACCCCCGAAGCCACAGACCGCTTTTCACTGATATGAAGGGGCCCACGGACACGCAAATAAATACACACAAATAGAAATAGTTTCCCATATTTGCTTGGCTTTTTTGTCTTCCCCACCACTTCCCATATTTTCCCATATGTTCTGGAGACGCGACGATTAATTGTGTCTGTGTGTTTCTTTCCCTCCTGATTATGCCATGTTTGCGCACTTGAAACCATAATCCATCGTCAATTATGCAACGTTCGCGTCCCTGGGGCCATCAGCCCGTGTAGATTACACTATGTTTGCCTCGCCGAGGCCACCGAGGCAACGATCCCCCAGATTACGCAGAGTTTGCGCCCTCGAAGCCATATCACCCCCGTAGTTTACTGAATAGTCCCGTCCTCTAGGCCAGAGGCACTTTTCAATTTTCAGATTCACCCCTATTTGGGTCCGACCGTCCGAGAAGACGATTGTCGCCCCATCCCACACCATCGCCTGCGATCACGATTGCCAGCAAATTCGCAGTGCAATGCGAACCGTCAGAATTCGAAATATGTGTTTAGTTTTGCTGCGCACGCCGGAACGTACGACATTAGCTCTCGCATTCCAACGTGAAGTACATCGTACCACGGCGGCGCCCTCGCATCCCACCTTAGCTCTGGCATGCCCCATTCTGAGAAAACCGGGGCTGGTGGCAATGGGCGAAGCGCATGCGGATAATCATGACATGAGGGGTATGGGTCTCGGGGTGGGGCACAAGGGTGGGGTAGGGTCCCGGGGCAGATGCGGCGCTACGTAGTTGAAGGGGCCCTGGGACACACAAATAAATACACACACACTTAACAGGATTCCCCATATTTTCCCTTATCTTCTGGGTTTTCGCCTTCCCCCCACTTCCCATATTTTCCCAGATGTTCCTGGGGGGGATCGACGATTCATTGTGTCTGTGTGTTTTTTTCCTCCTGAGTAGTCTTAAGTCGGGCCTGTCCCCCTACGGGGGAATTTTCGACGAAAAATTGAAAATACCCCAAAAATAAAATAAGAAAAAAACACAAAAACCACAAATAGTCTGGGGACTGTTTGTTTTAGCATTTTTGGGGGAAATTTTGGTGCCTTTGTTGTTTGAATGTTTTTTATTTGTCGTCGAAAATCCCCCTGTAGGGGGACACGCCCGACTTGAGAGTAGGCAGGAGGGGGAGAAAGGACAAAAAGACGACGGGCCGGAGGGGGCGCCGGGCCGGAAGGGGAGCGACGGCCGGAGGCGGGAGGGCGACGGCCACAAGAGAGGGAAACTCGGAGAGCAGGCCCGCACCGCTGCCCTCAAGTCGGGCGCGTCCCCATACAGGGGGATTCTCGACGAGAAATAACAAAAAGTACCTAAACAAAAATGCTACAAAATGGTGAACAAATGCTCCAAAAATAATCCCCAGACGGTTTTTTTAGCATTTTTGAAATATTCCCCCTGTAGACGGACAGGCCCGACTTAGGCTGCCCCTCCCGTCGCTTCCGCCGCGCCGTCCAGGGCCTCGTGGGAGGCACTCGTCCCCAAGGCCGCATTCCCCCCGAATTGGGAGTCCCGAAACGGTACGGTGACGGACCGTGCGGAGACCTCGCGATCCCCCCAGACCTCACCGCACGGTCCGTCACCGCACGGTTTCGGGACCCCAGAGGCCCCTGTCGCCCGAGACGTCCTCGGAGAAGGACTCGAGTCCCAAAACCGTGCGGTGACACCGAATCCCTACCGACTCACCGCACGGCGTGGTCACCGCCCCGTTTGGCCCCCCCTCCCCCCCCGAAATCCCAGTCAGAACGCACCCCAAGGGAGGCCCGGAGAGTAGCGGCACGGGTAGAATCAGTTCGGGCATGTCCCCCTGCAGGTGGGCTTTGGAAGCAAGCTCCAAAAATACTCAAACTATACTCAAATCATTTTCGCATGTGCTAAGACAATCGTCCCTATACACGCCCGACTGAAGGGTAGAGTCTTACTCCCTGACCAAGCCAAGACCACCTCCAACGAGAACCCACCGGGGGAGCGCCAGCCTCTGGGCGGTGGCACACCCTGCAGCCACCCAGCCTTTGGTGTCCGTTCCATGGGAGCCTGCCTGCGTGGCCCCTGGCGCTGTCCGATTTGGGCCTGATTTGGACCGGATTTGGAACACATTGGGACCAGATTTGGACCAGATTTGGAGTGGATTCGCGGGGACTGGAAGAACGAGGAGGAAGAGGGGGAACAGGAGGGGAGAGGAGGAGCAGGAGGATGGGCCAAATGCGGCCCCTGCGCGGTCCAAATGCAGGAAAAGCTGATTTCGGTGTCGCCGCCCAAGGCTCGAGTAGGGGAGCGACTGCAGAATTGACTCACCCCACAATTAACTCTCCATCGAACCTACGACGAAAACCTAGAAGGTTCAGCAATCGGCTGAGACTTCTGCATATCTTTCTCAGATTCGACGACAGAACCAGCTTTGGGGGAAATCAAATCTGTAGTCGATCCCCTGCTCAAAAGGCTCCCGTGAGCAGACGTCGAGCCCGCCGCGGGCGGCGCTCGGGCGCGCCACCGCCCAGGGGGAAGGGTCCCCCCCGAGGGGCTCCCCAGGCGGCGGTGGGCCGTGCCTCTCCCCCGAGAGGTGCACCGCGAGCACCGCGCCGGGCGGCTGCCGGGACCCGAGAAGGTGAGCACCCGTGTAGAGGGCAAGAAATCCACCCCGATAAGAACTGAGCAGGGGCCGACCGTCCCGGCATTCCTAGAGTCCTACCACGAACTGTTCGTAGGACCCAGAAATGGTCTAAGAACAAAAACCACGTTCTTAGAATATAAACCCGATGTGCTAAACCAAGACAGTCCCAGCCAGAAATGTTCTAAATAACATTTCGTGGAAACCACAAAAGGTTCTTAGCAAATTGCTAGGTAGGGCTATAGGCGAGCTGGGACGCTTCGCCACTGCTTGAAAGAACCATCCCGACACGGGAAGCCGATTAGTAAACGCACCCAAAGAAGGAATCAAACAGGGCAGGACTGATTAAACAGTTGCAAGGGCGTTTAGAAAAAACGAATTGTCTGGTCCGGGTGTTTTTTCCTCCCTTGACTGTGAGCACCCAGCTGGGCTCGTTGCCTAACGCAACCTCGGGACAACCCCAGCTCGCACGAGCACCTGGATGAAAGGCAACAAGGGGGCCCCATGGGATCCAGGTAGCGGAAAACCCAAGGATCCTAGATGGGGTCGGCTATCGGGTCGCCCCCTAAGCTTGTCCCCCCTGATGATCCCCGTCGTCCGCTCATGGGGTCATAAGTCTGGTCTCTGGCAGCCATTCGGGAACATCTGGACACCTGAGGACGCCTCTCGGCGAGGCGCAACTGCTGAAACACCACGAGGCAGGAAAACATCCAGGAACCGACGAGCACGTCCGAAAATTCCCTGAGCTGATCCCAGAGATCCGATGGCCTGATTTTTTCCTAGCGGCATCCCGCAAAATCTCTAGCTCCCTCCCCAGGACTGACTTGGCATCCAGAGTCGTCTCTTGACAGTCCTGGGGCTCGGGGAGGGCCCCAGGGACCGAAAACGGCAAACAACGCCCGTCCTGACTTTTCAATACGTCGGAGCTCTGGGGACGAAAACGTCCGACCCCATCCCTGAGCCAATCCCGCCCCTAGGAAGCACCTCCAGGGCAACTTTCGCACGACCGACTACGGGCTGTGGAGCCAGAGTAAGGGACCAGTCGGGCCGAATCGAGGCAGGGACAAGCCGAAGTAAGCGGGATGAAGCTGGATGTCTCGGGATGCGGCCTTTTTTCTACCACGGACATACAAGCACCGATGCTGACTTTGTCTCCCAGGAGCTGCCGCAGAATCCCGCCTCCAAGGAGCTCAAGTCAGGCCCGAGGAGGCCCCGAGGAGTCACCGCAACCGACTCTGAAACGCACTGGATAGAACAAAAAAAAACTATGCACATACACCGATTCTGGCCAGGCCCATCCTGAGCCCAGGATCGGTGCATAGCCAGGAAGGCCTATGCACCGATCCTGGGTCAAGGATGGGCGTTGTCAGGATCGGTGCATGTGCATAGTGCTCTTCGCCCGACCCGAGAGGCCTCCCAGGAAGTCCCGGGCATGCAGGAGGCCTCTAATACGCCCAGCCTGTCAGCACGGTGGCGCCATCGGCCGACTGTCACTAGACTTTACCCTCCCAGGCGTTGCGTCAGAATCCCGCCCGAATCGGTGCCCATGGCTTGAGCAGGGACCGACCGTCCCGTCATTCCTATAGTCATACCACGAAATGTTCTTAGAACCCGAAAATGTTCTAAGAACAAAAACAATGTTCTTATAACATAAACCCGATGTGTTAAAACGAGGCAGTCCCAGCCAGAAATGTTCTAAGAACATTTCGTGGGAACCACAAAAGGATCTTAGAACATCGTTTGGTAGGGCTATGGGCGAGCCAGGACGCTTCGCCACTGCTTGAATGGCCGAGCCTCCAGCAGCCCAGAGCTCAGAATCCGGCGCGTCGCCGGCGGGAGCTCAGGCAGCTGCTCGGCGCCAGGCGCGAGGTGGGCCTCTGGAGGAAGAGCACGCATCCGGACCTCCGACCTCCCCCGGACCTCCAGCGCATAGAGAGAGGTCATGATACCGGAGAAAAACTATAAGGCTACTATAGGGCTATAGGGCTATGGGGCGATAGGTATATAGGGCTATAAGGCTATAGGGCTAAAGGGCACCGGGCACCCTGGCACCCGGCACCCGGGCACCCACCCGGGCACCGGGCACCCGTCACCCGGGCACCCGGGCACCCGGGCACCTGGGTCCGGCCACCGAATCGGCGGCGAACCCGGGCACCCGGACACCCGGGCACCCGCGCCCGGCCACCGAATCGGCGGCGAACCCGGGCACCCGGGCACCCGGGCACCCGGGCCCGGCCACCGAATCAGCGGCGAACCTCACCTCAGCCTTTAATCCGCTAGGACCCCTACAGAGGCAAGCTCTGATTGGGGAAAAATTGATAGGGGGCCACATGCGAACCCCACCCTCCCCCTCAGAAATCGTTGGGGGTAGGGGTATGTAGGGTTCGCATGTGGCCCCCTAAACGACGACTTTTGCGCGGTGTTTGTTCTTCCTCTGGGGCCCCGGCGGGGCCCTGGGGCCGCCAAAAACGACTCAGGACGAACCGCCCGCCCTGGGGAACGAGTCGGGCCTCCTGGGGGCCCGTATTGCAAAATTCACGGCGTCGGATGTATGGCAACCCAGACCTTCGAGAAAGTGTGCTTGCATCAATCGCTGCGTTTGTTCCTCTCTTGGGACTGCGGGATCCGTCACTGCGAGGCGACGACTATACATATTTCTTGTCTGGGGAAACGACGTCCTGGGGCCTGATCGGGCGTTGGACATGGATATACTTCGTCCACAGGGAGACCGACTAAGTACATCCACATCCACCATCTGCCGAGGTCCTCGAAGATTGATCCCCCAGGCCAGAGTTATGGGTAAGTCTCGCCTCCGAGTTATCGGGTCCTGGGACCACGAGAAATACGCAGAATAAGCTCTGGCTTAGGGGACGGGATCTTTGGAGCCACGGCTTGAAAACATATTTCGGAGGATGCCTGGGAACTTACCAACATCTAAGCTGTCAGAGGACCGCAAGGATCTCTTGGATAGGGATTGGACCGAGCGGAGCGCGCCTGGGGCGACGCCCGAGGCGCCACCAGGGTGGGGCCAAGCGCCGATCCACGGAATCAACGCAGCTCTCCGAAAGACTGCGATTGGGCAGACCCTTTTTCGCGGGCCTGCTTTGCATGGCAACCACCATGGACCAGGGGCGGCGGACCTACGGTGGTGCCTTGACGTGCGTGGTGCGACCACGCTCGGCAACACACTACCATAGGTCAGCCGCACCTGGCCTGTGGCGACAGGGAGAATTTCAGGAGGGAAAGAAACACACAGACACAATGAATCGTCGACTTCCCAGAAAATATGGGAAAATATGGGAAGTGGGGGGGAAGACAAAAACCCAGAAAATATCGGAAAATATGGGGAATTCTGTTATTTGTGTATATTTATTTGTGTGTCCCAGGGGCCCTTCAGAATTGAGCCGACGAACTGTCAGCTGCGAGCCTCGCCGGTGTCCAGGTCGAAGACGGAGCAGTCGCAGCGCCGCGCGGTCTCGCGCGGCCCCGCTTCTCGGAGGAGGGCCAGCTGCAAAGACAGCGGCAGCGCTCCCGCACCGCCCAAACTAGAGGGCTCCTAGATGGGGTCGGAGTAGATGGGGTCGGAGGACCGCGCCGCATCGCGGATGCATCGGCGATACATCGGCGATGTATCGGCGATGCATCGGCGATGCACCAGCGATGAGGCGTCGACGTGGGCGATGCATCGGCGACGTCGACGTGAAGGAAATCGGGCTCCACATCGAGCTGCATCGGCGATGCATCAGCGACGCGGCGCGATCGTCCGACCCCATCTGCTCCGACCCCATCTAGGAGGCCTAGACCAACTGCGCTCAAGATCGGCCCCCGGACCCCTCCCGGGTTCCACCCTGGCCGCGTCCCAGGGCGGATCCAGCCATGGCGACGAGGAGACCCTCATTGGATCGGCGCGAGGGGTGCTGAGGGAATAGGAGATTCCCAGTGGATGCCCACGTGTATCATATCTGATCTGACCTACCTGATCGGTGGATCACCCGTACACGAAGTGGCTTGGGGGGGTTACCCAATCCCGAAAAGCCGCGTAGGGCTCCTGAACGTGCGAAGACAGGTCAGGCCAGATACAACCCACCTTAGCATCCACCGGTGGACCCCCCCCCCTTGGCACCCGCCGCGCTGATCGGAGAGAAGGGCCCCAAAGACTCGCCATCGCTCGGACGTCCATTTCCCGTGCATTGTTCGGTTTCGTGCGTGTTTTTCTTGCTCGATGGTCCAGGATCGTCCTCGATGGTTCTCGCCGAGAAGAAATGAACACGTCCGAGCGATGCTAGGAAGGGCAAAGAGAACGACAGGGAGCGCGGCCGTCGTCACGACGCGGCCCCCCTCCGAGCTTCCCCCCCGAGCGCGTGCCGAAGCAGCCCGGCGAGCACCGCGCCGCGGCTCGGCTCGCCCTGGAGCTCGCCCGCCCGCAGCAGGAGCGGCGCGTAGCGGCCCCGCCAGGCGAGCGGGAACAGGAGCACCCGGGACAGCGCCTCCGAGCATCGCTTCGCGGGCCACCGATCCCCATCCCCACTTTGGGACGCCCGAAACGGGTACGGGAAGAAGAAAGGGTACAATGCCCAACAACACACGTGGTTCCAAACCAACAGCGGCCGCCGGTGGGCAGGCGGCCTTCTGCCCCGAATGGACACAGGCCGCGGCGGCGTGGACGGCGAGGCCTGTTCAAAATGAACCAGATCCGCTGTTCGGCATTGTACCCATTCTTTCAGTACCCCTTCCGGGCGTCCAGACCACTGGCGTGGCCGTGGCTTCCCTGGCCGGCTGGCCCACCCGAGTGGGGATGCATGTCTGCTCCCGCGGGATGCGCAGGGCCGCTCCCCACCTGCGATGGAGGGCCAGGAGGGCCGAGCTGCCTGGGCATCGCTCGGACGTCCATTCCCTGTGTTTTTTTCCAGTTTCGTGCGTGTTTTTTTTCGCCAAATGATCAAGGATGCTCCTCGATGGTCCTCGCCGAAGAAAAAATGCACACGTCCGAGCGATGCCAAGCTGCCTGTCTAAAGGGGATGGGGATCGGTTTCACGATGCTGGGCCTCGCAGGCGTCCGTCAGCACAGCAGCGGAGGAGGAGCATAGCACCACCTTAGAGGGCAACTCTGGGAAGGTCTTCGAGACAACGAGTGATGGCAAAGAGACCCGATCGACGGGCCACTCAGCCAGATGAGCCGAGGCTCAAATTCAGCGTGTGATTAAGCCAGAATTGGCCAGGTAGGGCGAGCATGAACGGATTCAAATAAATTTGTACCAGATTCGGCTGGTACCGCGGATATAATGACAATTGCCTGTACCGAATTGAACGTTTCCTAGAGTTGCATCCCAAACCACCCTCTGCTCCAGCAGCACCAGCCTGGTCAGGGTCACCAGCTCCCTGGCCCCCAGGCGGGCCGGCAGCGCCTGCAACCGCACGTGCGACCGCGGCATGCCTGGGGGAACAAACAAAACGAGACGGCTAACCCCCTAACCGAAGAGAAGAGAATCTGTCCGTGGTGACCAGTGATCCCCAGGAAGTGCAGCGGTATCGGTACCTTCCCTACCATTCAACGTCCGAGACGAAAATTACAACATCGAAACATCAACTTGCCCTGGGCTCTGGACCCCGTCTTCTTGCTGCATCAAGTCGGATCAATCCATGAGAGCCCCAGGGCCCGAAACAAAGGAAAACCGCCCGTTGCGAAAACACACGCAGCGCCAGGATATCAAGCTTTTTCAAATACGGGCTCCCCAGAAATCTCCTCCCCATCCCAAGGGGCGGCATTTCGTTCTGCGATGTTTTTATTGACGGTCCTGGGGCCCGCCGAGGGTCCCCGAGGGCCCTGAACTACGCAAACGTGTGGACCTGATTTGTTTCTACACGCTGGAGGTCTGGGTCAGAGTGAGGGAGCCGAGCGGACTTACCCCATCCCTGGGTGCGCGGGTGAAACTGGATCCAGTTGCCTAAATTCTGCTCATCTGTTGCTGTCTGTTAGCTGTTGCTGCCGTCGTCGTGCCCCCCACGACCCGCCCAACTCAAATGGGGGGGTTGCTACAGCCGGACCTGAGACAGAAGAGCATCCTCCAAGAACATGAGACCCTCCGCCAGCCAAACTGAAGCACATTCGAGGGTGCCCTCCCCCAGGATGCACCAGCGCATCCAACAAACAAGAGGAACACTCATTGGAGTACCCCGTCCGAAACTCGATCTTGCACCTCGGTCCGACTGTACGTCTCTTTTAGAGGCCTCCTAGATGGTGTCCAAGTAGATGGGGTCGGAAGATCACACCGCATCGCCAATGCATCACCGGTATAGGCGATGCGTCCGCGACGTCGGCGTGGGACAAATCGGGCTCCACATCGAGCCGCATCAGCGATGCATCGGCGGTTGGCGCGACCCTCCGACCCCATCTACTCGGACCCTATCTTGATGGGCCTGTTTTCCACCACCACCACCACCAGAAATTGGAGAGGGGAAGGAGGAGGAGGACGGAGAGGAGGAGGAGGAGGAGGAGGAGGAGGAGGAGGAGGAGGAGGAGGAGGAGGACCCCCTCCCCCTCCAACTTATGGTGGTGGTGGTGGAAAACAAGCCCATCACATCCAGGAGGCCTAGATCTTTCCCGCCCCCAGGTCGCCCTCCAGCGCGCCGCGCACCAGCCCGACCGCACCGCGCGGGCCGTGCAGCCACAGGCCGACGCCGCAGGGCGGAGCTGGCACCTCCCAGACCAGCCACGCGCACAGCCGCGCGAGGGCCGCGGGCGTGGGCGCCCCGGACTGCGACGGCGGCTCGGAGAGGGGAGGGTGGGCCGTGAGGCAGCGGTGGCTCTAGGTGAGGAGCCCAACTTTATACACCGATGCTTGTTTCCGGTCCCGCACTGAGATTGGCACAAGAAAACGGATTATGGTGTATACGGCATCCTGGTGTAAAAACATTTGTTGTTGCTTCCACGGGAAAACGGGGAAACAAGTATACACCACGCCACCCCGACGTCGTCCCCGACCATCAAAACAATTCTGGGATTTGAGAACCGCCCGCCACTGGTAATGTATATGCTCCAGTTTCCGACTAGGTTCGTATCGTGACGACCCCGGCGTTGGTTTTTTTGATACCGCGGTGTTCGTTCAAACTTGAACGATCGACCGTTCCAATAACGCCAGATCGTTCAACGACGGGCCGATTCTGGGCCACGGGCGGCGTTCAACCCTAAACGCCCGCGCTGGGGTCGCCGCCTGTCGACACGACCCGAATCCACCGTACACGCAGGAGTGACCCCAGGCAAGAGTGACATCTACGGCGCGGCTTTCCCTCTGCCTCCCTCTGCTATACCTTCCGACCTGCGCGAAAAGTGCGGAAGAACTCGTCGATACTCATGGAAAAGCTTACGCGATTCATGGAAACCGACATCGACCAGATCGAAAGGGCGAAAGGCTAGGGCGGAAGGTCCAGAGGAATGAGGGGGAGGGCCATGGGGACCGCAAGGGTCAGATTGCCCAGCGCGCAGGCCAGTGCTGGGGGGACCCCCGTGGGCCCGCAAGAGAGCGCACTCCGGCGAAGGGCCGCTATATTGCGCGTAGCCGATTCGCTTGCAGCGGAACCAAGTGACGCACGTAGCCGCCCGGGGGGCGGATAAGAATAAGGGGGTGGGCGCGGGGTGGGTCCCGGGTACAGTCGGGGCGTTGACCCAAGGAACCCTAAATAAGGAACGGGGCCCCTTCCTCCCATAAGTTGAGCTTCGATTTCCCATGGAAAACCTTAGGGAAACAGAAGGCAAACTGCAGAACAATCAAGGAACACCGAGCCCCTCCCCAACGAAAAGTGTTCCTTCTTCAGGGCCCCGACTGTAGGTCGCGGAAGGAACGGCGGAGTCCCGGTGATACGATGTTATTCCCAACGGCGGCGGCCACGACGTCATGTTTGTTCATGTGTCTTGTCTTTGTTTGCCGATGCGAGACTGCGGGGCCAGTTCTCGGGCCCCAGGACCATCAAACATGGATGCTCGGCAAAACACTACCTCCAGGCCCTAAGTAAAACAAAACACATGATGGGGGGTGGGACATCTGGCCATGATAGGCCATGATAGGGGATGGGACCCCTGGGGGCCCTGATTACAACGAAAAAACATGCTGACAGACGTCCACCCTAAGCCTATCACCCCCAAAACGTTGCTCTTTCTTACCCGTCTGGCCCACACGCGCTGGGGCCCTCCCGAACGAAGTGAACCCCCACCCCACCTTAGAAATCGTGGGGGGGGGGTAGGGCTCACATGTGGCCACCGAAATTTGCCGCGACGAACAAGAAATAATTGTTCCTCTTCTTGTTAACGGCTGTGACCGGCCCCGGCCGCCCCCTCCATGCAGCGTTACGACTCGTGCTGACGTGCTGACCTTCTCGGCAGGTACTGGGCATCGCTCGGACGTCCATTCCCTGTATTTTTTCTGGCTTCGTGCGTGGTCTCTTCGCCAAATGATCAGGAATGTTCCCAGATGGTCCTCGCCGAAGGAGAAATGCACACGTCCGAGCGATGCCAAAAGTAACGCATGGCGCCCGGGATACACCCACAACAAAACCGTCCAGGGAGGGCCGCCGCTGCCTCGACGACGGCACCCCCTCCGAGGAGGACGCGCAATCGGCGGCCAGGCCGGCGAGCTCACCGAGGAAGCCGGGCGACAGCGCCTCGGGCAGGTCCGACCACAGGCAGACGGCCACTGGCGCCTCCTGCACGGTGGCGCAGGCGCTCGGCTGCCGCACCCGGGCGGCGACGTTGACCCTCCTGCTCGAGCAGCGTTAGCGCACGCATGTCCGTCTTCGGCGGTGGCCGGACCTCCCTTTGGCAAACCACCCTCGTTAGTGAAAAGGGCCTGGGACCGAAACGAAACAACGGGACCTGGACCCGCAACAATGACGGCCGCGACGCCCTCTCGCGAACCGAAACAGCCAATTCCGACCAGCCATAACTGGGGGAGGTGTGGTCCTTACCCCCCTGGGGGAACCCATCGCATCGACGATCTCTCGAGAGGGGTGTCGAAATCGATGGGCCCCCCAGGGGGGTAAGGAACACAACTCCCCCAGTTATGGCTGGCCTGCAATTCGCTACTCGACGTGTCAGGCCCTCCGACGTATCCGCGCCCTCGCCGTCTGGAGTCCCCGGGCGCCCTCCCGCGGACCCGCGGTCGCAACGGGGTAAGCCCAGCGCGGGGCACTTGCGAGCAGACGCCCCGCACCCGTGGGGGTGACGGCCCAGTGGCCCGGCCCGCGAAGCCGCGGAGGCGGCTGCTGTCTTTCGCCCGCGACTCCTGCCCGAGGCATCGGTCAGCACGGTGGTGATGCAGCGCTCCGGCGTCGGCGGCCGCGGCGCCGCTGCCGAGGCCGCCAGCAGCAGCCCCGACAGCTCCTTAGACGCCCGAGCTCTCGGGGAGAATCTGTGCTGCAGGTCAGGGGGGACTCCGGGCCTGGGCCCCCCCACGCACAACTCGGGAGCTACCCCTGACCACCCCCAGCCCCGATGATTCCTGACTCGGGGCTCTGAGCATACCCGCTCAAAATCCATCCCCAGACCCAGGATCCATCCTATGCGATTTTGCACTCCGGATTACGTCTTTGACGTTCCGGGGGCCTGAAAAAAATCCCCCGAGACCGAAAAGGCAAAACATATTTTCGAACCAAGAATCCCGAAACTCCCCCTCGTTCTGCGATCCGATGATTCGGAGCTCTGAGCTCCTGCAGCAGCGCCATCTTGCTGGCTTCTGCTAACCAATGCTAACCGGCGCTAATCGAACCTGATCGACGCCAGTCGAAACTAAATCGAAGCTAAACCAGCGCCTTGTCACCGACTACCAGACGCTAGCGCACGCCTATGCCCTCTAAGGGCGGAATGGCGACGACACGCGTGGCTACGATGAAGCGTTACCGAGCCCAGTGGATCGGGGCTCTGAGCTCCTGCAGCAGCGCCAGGTCCGAGACATTTGAATCGTCTCGACTGCACATCTTATCTAGTTGGGAAACTAGTGCTGTTCAATGGGCAAGAATTCGCTTCAAAGGCGACTAGAAAAGAGTGCAGCGGCAACGGCTTCCGGAAATCCATCCGACCGATAAACCGATCAACCGATAAAAACTAATCGGTTGAACGGTTTGCAAACCGATCAACCGAAAAAACGATATAATTTGATCGGTTTATCGGTGGATCGGTCGCTCAACCGAAAAACCGGTAATCTTCGTATGCGAACATAGAGGCGATTGCTGGCGCGCCCCCCTCTCTTCGTCGGTTTATCGGTTTATCGGTTCATCGGTTGACTGGCTGGTCTGAGACCGCAGGGGGGGAACCTGTGGAGGCGATCCTTGTGCCGCATATCGGTTTATCGGTTTATCGGGTTGTCGGATGGTTGTCAGCCCCCCGCCACGACGACGACGGCGACGGCGACGGCGTGAGTTTTGTGTTTGGCTCTGGCGCGGACGGCGCACCCCGCTCTGGGGCGGCTCGGCTTGATCAGCCTGAGTCTCTGGTGCGGACGGAGTCCCGCAGGGGTCCGAGCATCTCCCGCCGCGCGCGATGCTTTGCGCGGGTAGCGCAGGGCCTGCGAGGGTCTCAGGCGACAGTGGCCGAACCAACTTGGGGCAGGGCATATGCGAGGTCGTTGTCTCAGACGAAAGTGGCCTGAAGAGGTCAGCTATAGGCGTCTCGGATGCCGCTGTTGCGAGGATGTCGCAGGCGAAAGTGGTCGGACCGCCGTGGGGTAGGGCACTTCCGAAGTCAGAAGTGCGAGGGCGCCCCGGGCGAAAGTTGTCTGAACATCGCATCCCGGGGCAGATCGGGGGTCAGACTATTTCAAGGCTGGGCGCATCCCCCCCAGGTGAACGAGGCGAGTTTTTGCGTGGGCGGAAATGGCCAGCACAATTTGGGGCAGGGCATATCAGAGGCCAGCGTTGCGAGGATGTCTCAAGATGAGGAAGAGGAAGGTCATGCTGATGATAATGATGGCGATGGCGGCAGCCGCGCGGGAGGCAGAATCTGGCGGGGCAAATTTCGGTGGGGAGCAAAATCTGGCGCGCCATTTTGCGTCGGTCTGGATCACATTGTACGAAAGGACGGACGGCGATCGGCTCCAGGAGCAGAGCCTCGACAAGACTCCACGAGGAGCAGAGCCCCGACAAGACTCCGCGAGAGGGGAGGGAGAAGGAGGAAAGGGGAGGAGGAGAGGGGAAATGCGAAACCCCTAAAGCGCAAAGAAGGCGGGGGAGGGGGAGAAGGAGCCCCCCCCCCACCCCGCCTAAGCACGGTAGAAGCCGACAACATCCTAGCCCGAAGTGCCCTGCCAGATTTCGCTTCCCGCAAGACCGCCTGCGCGCGGAGCATCTGCAAATCGCAGGTCGGCAGGGGGCAAATATGCCGCAGGACGGCCGGGGACAAACATGCCAGAGGTTGGCCGGGGGCGAATATATCACAGGACGGCTGGTACCACCGACCACTCTCTCCTCTGGCCACCCCTCTGGCCACCCCCCACCACCGACCACTCTCTCCTCTCCCTCGTCACCCCCCTCCAAGTCATCCACGTGCGTCCTCGACGGCGACGGCGACGATGGCAGGGAGTGGCGCGCGTCATATTTGATAGGGCGCGACGCTACCCCTGCAGATGCGCCCGCCTCTCCGCGCGCGTCGGCTGGCCACGTCGGCGCGCCGACGCGTCCTTCCGATCCTTCTTGCTCCGGTTGCGTCGGCGCGTCGCCGCCTCCTCGCGGAGCTTCGCGAGGAGCTCCTGGGAGGCCGCGTCGCCGGCCGCGTCGGCGTCGCACGGCAGCCAGATGCGCGCGGCGCCAGGCGCGCCGGCCGCGCCGCCAGCAACCTCGCCCAGCACATGCTCGGCGCCTTCGCTGCCGCGCTCGCGGGCCGCGCGCAGCAGCGCGCGGAGCAGCTCCCTTCGCCAGAGCGCGCTGTTCTCGCACTGCGCCCGCGGGATGCCCGGCGGCAGCAAAGCGCGCTGCGCCCGCGGGAAGCCCTGCTGCGCATTCCGGGCCCCCAATGCCTCCAGCGCCTCCTCGCCGCGCCGCCTCGGGCACTGGTCGTCGTCCTCGGCGCGCGCGGCCCAGATGCCACCTGGCACTCCTGGGTGCTCCTCCAGGCGGTCCAGGTAATCCTGGAACTTCCCGACTGCGCGCCAGAACTCCAGCCAAATAGGGCTGCCCATGGCCGTGGAGACCCCCCGAGGCCACCGCCTCCATGCGCGGCCGCCCGTGCGCCAGGAGCTCCGTGATGCAGTAAGCGCCGGCGGAAAAGCCGAGCGCGACGACGGGCCCGCCGTCGGCGAAGCTCTCAACGAAGTCCGCGAGCAGGTCCACGCTCCCGGGCACTAGATCCCCGAGGAAGCCGCGCGCAGTGCCGTTTCGATCCAGGATCCACAGCCGGTCTCGCGGCCGCAGTGGCGCGAGGAACCGAAACGGCGGCAGTCCCCAGCTCATCATGGCCTTTAGCTTCCCGGCGAACGGCGCTTTCGCGTCGCCACCCTCGCCCCCGAGGCCGGCGAGGTAGAGCAACAGCGGCTCCTCCTCGAGCGGCCCGTTCTCAGGCGGCTCATCCGCGTCAACCCCGCAACTGGAGGGCGCCACCCTGGCGGCGAAGTAGCGCAACTCCTCGCCCGTCGCTGGGCACCGCCAAACGATGGGGCCCCAGAGAAAGCCGGCGGGGCCACTCCACGGCGACGCAGCGCGCAGCAGGTGGGCCGGCGGGGGGCCGCCTGGCGACGCAGCGCTCGGATCAGGCTGCGCCGCCGCCTGCGGTCCCGCCTCGTCCTCGAGGTTCAGGTCGCTCGCGCGGGGGCTCGGTGGTGTCGACTCGCCGCCTCCTCCCTCGTCCTGGTGCTGCTCGGCCGGGGCAGAGGGCCCCGCGCTGCCGAGGCCTGCTGCTCGGCTGGGGCGGGGCCTGCTGCTCGGCTGGGGCGGAGGGCCCCGCGCTGCCGAAGCCGCTCCCCTTCCTTGGCTGGGGCGTGGTCGGGCCCTGCTCTCCACTCGGCTCAGGCCCCTCTCGGGCTGGCCTTCCCCTGGGGATCGAGACCTCGATGGTGCTGCGGGTGGCGCCCGCAACAGGTGCGGCGGCGGGGGGCCGCCTGGGGGCCTCGGCCCACGCTGCGACGCAGCGCGCACTAGGTGCGGCGGCGGGTGCCCGATAGGGGGCACGCTCGCGCGGCGGCGCATCCGCGCGGCCGCCCAACGAAACTGCTTGAGCCAAGACCGCAACAACAACACTCCACGAGGGCCTCTGAGTGAGTGCCCATTGGAGCTGTCGCGAAGCCCTGGGAAGGATCCCAGAGGGCTCAATCAGAACCCAGAGGTCCCTCTTCGGTCGTCTTGGGGCTCTCTTAGGCTTCCCCTAGGGCCATCGGAGGGGGCCAGGACGGCTCCAGGACAGCTTCAACAGGGCCGCCGGAGGGACACAATTAGGATCACCCGGGGGGCTTCTGCCGGGTGATCTCGCGGCGGGAGACCGAGAGTTATGAGGATGTCTCATGCGAAAGTGGCCTGAACAGGTCAGCTCTACGCGTCTCGGAAGCCACTGTTTCGAGGGTGTCGCAGGCGACAGTGGCCGGACCGCCATGGGGCAGGGCGCCTCCGAAATCAGAGGTGCGAGGGCGTCTCAGGCGCAAGTGGCCAGAACACCGCATCTCGGGGAAGATCGGGGGTCAGACTACGTGAAGGCAGGGCGCATCCCAGGTCAACGCTGCGAGTTTTTGTGTAGGCGGAACTGGCCAGCACAATTTGGGGCAGGGAAGAATATCAGAGGTCAGCGTTGCGAGGATGTCTCAGGATGAGGACGAGGAAGGTCATGCTGATGATAATGATGGCGATGGCGTCAGCCGCGCGGGAGGCAAAATCTGGCGGGGCAAATTTCGGCGGGAAGCAAGTGCGAGGATGGCTCAGGCGATGGTGGCCAGATTATTTCAATTCAAAGAATATCGGATCCCAGAATATCGGAGAGATGAGACGTGGACCCGGGGTGGGGGACCCACGCAGCCTGGCTATCACACCAAATGCCCGCCGCCATGCCCTGGTTTTCGCACCACATGCGGGCGACGAAATGCCCAACCAGATTTCGTGTTCGACGAAGTCCTCATACGTGCCCACGCACCCCCCGAGTACTCTGAGCGCCCGAGCTGGCTTAGTCCAGTCCTTCATTGGCGTAGGCTGGAACTGGTTGTACAGCATGCCCATCGCGCAACCCATGCTGAGCCCCCCGTTGAGCTCGCCAAGGAATATGACGCGCATGTTGTTGGTCGATGCCATGGTGCACATGTCGACTAGGTCGAGATTCCCGCGCCTGCCCATGTAAGCCTGCGGGTCGATTGGTCCCGTAGTCGACACTCGTGCCACAAGAGCGTCGCCGTCCTGCAACGGCTGAAGCTCCCCGTTAGGTCCCAAATTTGATCTCATTGGCTGATAGCCTGGAATGTGGCCGAGCGTCGCCAGCACCGCCGGCGTGGCTCCTGGTACGATATGCTCAGACTGCCGACATATGCTGACAACCGTACCTCCAGGAACTTGACCTGCAATGGCTTCGAAGACTAACGTTTCGTAGAAGCGGCACCTCTCCGTGTGAGTTGGTTGTCTGCCCGAGTACTTAGTCATCAGCTGCTCGAGGTATGCGAAACACTCGACCGGCGGCCACGCGCACCCATGGATCAGGAGAGCCGGCTTCTCTTGGACCACATCGACGTCGTGCAACTCGAAACTGTTGAGAGGCAATATCGTGGCGCCGAGCTGTCGCAACGCTGGCCCATTATGCTGTTCCAGGAGATTTGTAGTCAAGTCCGACACGATCCAATCTACTAGTGCACATGGCCCCGCCCGACTGGTGACGCCAGCCACTCTCGCCTGAATGTCAGCTGAGGCTGCCGCGCCGTCGCCCTGCATGGAACCAGGAGCCAAAAAATGGCACTACGCTGCTCGGGCCCCTGGTGCTGAGGCGGAGGACGAGGGGCCCCTCGCCCCCGTCGTCCCGAGGGCGCTCGGCGTCTGGGCCCTCGCCAAAAATGCCCCGCCAGATTTCGCTTCCCATAATGCCCGCCCTCTCGCCGGGGGGGGGAGGGGGGGGGCGCGGAGCTGGGACAGGGAAGGCCCTCGCCGTCGCGAGGCAGCCACCAACGAATCCACTCCCGCTGCTCCACTGCGCGAGTGTCGCGGTCAGCTCTCGCCGCCCAACTACCGCAGCTCCCGCCGCGCAAACGGATTCGGGATCTGCAGCTTTCGCCGCAGCTAGGGCTACCGCGCAGCTTACGCCACAGCAGAAACGGATGGTGATGATGATGATGATGTTGATGATGATGATGCTGATGATGATGATGCTTTTGATGATGATGATGATGATGTTGATGATGGTGACACTGATGATGATGATCTTAAAGATGAGGACGACGACGATGACGATGATGCTGATGATGACAATAAGGAGGAGGAGAAAAGGAGGAGGAGCAGGGGGAGGGAGGCAGCAGGATGAGGAGGGGAGGAGGAGCAGGAGGGGGGGAGGGGGGGGGGGTGAGGCAGGGAATGAGGGAGGAGGAGGAGGAGGAGGAGGAGGAGGGGACGGGGAGGAGGAGGAGGAGGAGGAGGAAGGGGGAGGGAGCGAGGGGGGGGGGGACGAGGAGGCGGAGGACGGGGATGACGATGATGAGGAGGAGGAGGAGGGAGGGGGAGGAGGAGGGGATGATGATGATGATGATGAGGAGGAGGAGGAGGAGGAGGAGGAGGAGGGAGGAGGAGGAGGAAATGATGAGGAGGAGGGGGGAAGGGAGTATAGAGGAGGAGGAGGAGGAGGAGGAGGAGAAGGAGGAGAGGAGGAGAGGAGGAGGACGGAGGAGAGGAGGAGGAGGAGGAGGAGGGGGAGGGAGGGGGGGGGAGGGAGGAGGAGGAGGAGGAGGAAGAGGAGGAGGAGGGGGAGGAGGAGGGGGAGGGAGGAGGAGGAGGAGGAGATGATGATGATGATGATGATGATGATGATGGGGAGGCGGAGGAAATGAGGAGGAGGAGGGGGGAAGGGAGTATAGAGGAGGGGGGGGGGGGGAGGGGGAGGAGGAGGAGGACGGGGTGATGAGGAGGAGGAGGAGGAGGAGGAGGAGGAGGAGGAGGAAGGGAGGGGGAGGAGGAGGAGGGGATTATGATGAGGAGGAGGAAATGAGGAGGAGGAGGTGGGAAAGGAGTATAGGCAGGAGGCCCGGATGAGGAGGAGAGGGAGGGGGGGGAAAACAAGGGAGGGGAACAAGGGAGGGGAATGGGGGACGGATGTGAGAGTGTGGGCAGGAGGGGAAGAGGGAGGGAGGACGAGCTCCCCAGGAATGGTGGTCAGCTGGAACGCCGAGAAGGGGCTCACGGGGGCCGCGGCCCTGTGCGCGCAGAACCATGGGCGTCGGGGCCAGTGAGGGAGGGAGGAGAGGGAGAGAGGGAGGATCGGAACGGAGGAGGGAGGAGGAGGAGGAGGAGGAGGAGGAGGAGGGAGGAGGAGGAGGAGGAGGCGGAGGCGGAGGAGGACTAGGAGGAAGAGGAAGGGGAGGCGGAGGAGACTAGGAGGAAGAGGGGGAGGGAGGACTAGGAGAACCATGGGCGTCGGGGCCAGTGAGGGAGGGAGGGAGGGAGAGGGAGGGAGGGAGGGAGGGAGGATCGGAACGGAGGAGGGGGGAGGAGGAAGAGGGAGGAGGAGGAGGAGGAGGAGGCGGAGGCGGAGGAGGACTAGGAGGAAGAGGAAGGGGAGGACTAGGAGGAAGAGGAGAGAGAATTTCGAAGGATTACCCATTGGACAACCACGACAACGCCGGGCCGATAAACCGATCAACCGATCAACCGATAAACTGAAGCATCCGATATACCGATAAACCGACAATACTGATAAAGCCAAGCTGTGCTGAGATTCGGGCACGCATGCGATGAGTCGGTTTAGTGGTTGATCGGTTTATCGGCAGATCGACCGATAAACCGATATAATCATATCGGTTTATCGGTCGATCTGCCGATAAACCGATCAACCGAAATAGTTTATCGGTTGATCGGTTTATCGGTCTATCGGTGTTATGTTCGTGTCCTGCGGCTGCAATGTGATCTCTGATGGGGCCCGAAGGACAGTTCATCTTGCTCTACATGAACAATCACCGCTGTTGGTCATCGTACACATGTGCAGACATCGTGCGACCCGAAAAAAACACTGAATACGAAACGAAGCGGCTTGTCTAGCCACGAAAAACCACGGACACGCAGAGGTAGCACCACCCCGTCCAGGGAAAGGCCCAGAAACCAGAGCGCCTCCTGAGCAAAAAGTGATGCTTACAGTCGGATCTAGGACAGAAGCGCATCCTTCAAGAATATGAGACTCTCCGCCAGCCAGAACACACAGACCATCCAGGGGTACCCTCGAAAGGATGCACAAGAGCACCCAACAAACACGACGACGAAAAAGACTGGGGTACCCTCCTCGAACCGACCTCGATCTTGTAATTCATTACCTTGGTCCGACTGTATATTCGGGGAGACATATGACTCGGTTTCGGGGGACTCCGGGTGGCCTGACGGGGTTATCATGAAAATGACGAGGCCAAGTCGGAAATTTCACGCGAGCTCCATCTGCAAACATCCCCCAAAAACTGGTCCGTCAAACTCCAGGGCGCGCTCGTCAAAAAGATTCGGCAAACCCGAGCTCCGGCGTTCTCGAGTCGTCCGCTGCCCCGATATTTCACAGTGCAGGGAGGAGGAAGGAGGGAGGAGGGAGGAGGGCGGGAGGGAGGAGAGAGGAGGGCGGAGGGAGGAGGAATGATGGCGAGGATGGAGGGCGGAGGGAGGAGGGCGGAGGGAGGAGGGAAGAGAGCGGAGGGAGAGAGGAGGAGCGAGGGAGGAGGGGGAGGGAGGAGAGGGAGGAGGAGGGAGGAGGAGGAGAGGAGGGGGAGGCGGAGCGAGCGGAGGAGGGAGGAGTAGGAGGGCGGAGCGAGGAGGGAGGAGGAGAGAGGGGGGAGGAGGGAGGGAGGAGGAACGAGGAGGGAGGAAGGAAGGAGGGCGGAGCGAGGGGGGAGGGAGGAGTAGGGAGGGCGGAGCGAGGAGGGAGGAGGAGGGAGGGCGGAGCGAGGAGGGAGCGAGGAGGGAGCGAGGAGGGAGGAGGACGGAGGGCGGAGGGAGGAGGGCGGAGCGAGGAGGGAGGGCGGAGGGCGGAGGGCCTCCAGCAGCGCCAGGTCCGCGCGCGGCAGGGCGCCGGCCTCAGGCAGCGAGGCGAGCACCCGCGGCGCGCCCGGGCCGCCGCCGAGGAGCGCCACGCCGCGCAGCAGCGGCGCCCGCGGCGCCGCGGCGCCCGCGGCCACCATCGCTGGCGCGAGGAGGCGCTGCGGCGCCCTGCGCGGCGAGCTGCGGGGGAATAGAGGCCTCCTAGATTTACAGGGCAGTTTTTAATACATCGGATGGCTGAAAATCTAAGATTTTGATTATCCCAGAGCGACCCTACCTAAGAGTTCGAAAGCCCCTAGGAGAGCAATATTAGTAGTAACGGTAAACGCCGTCCTCCTCCTTCTCCTCACCGTCGCAGTCGTAGCAGTAGCGGTAGTAGTAGTAGTAGTAGTAGTAGCAGCAGCAGCAGCAGCAGCAGCAGCAGCAGCAGCAGTAGTAGTAGTAGTAGTAGTAGCAGCAGCAGCAGCAGCAGCAGTAGTAGTAGTAGTAGTAGTAGTAGTAGTAGTTAGTAGTAGTAGTAGTAGTAGTAGTAGTAGTAGTAGTAGTTAGTAGTAGTAGTAGTAGTAGTAGTAGTAGTAGTAGTAGTAGTAGTAGCAGTAGCAGCAGCAGCAGCAGCACAGCAGAGCAGCAGCAGCAGCAGCAGCAGCAGTAGAGTTAGTAGTAGTAGTAGTAGTAGTAGTAGTAGTAGTAGTAGTTAGTAGTAGTAGTAGTAGTAGTAGTAGTAGTAGTAGTAGTAGTAGTAGTAGTAGTAATAGTAGTAGTAGTGGTAGTAGTAGTAGTAGTAGTAGTAGTCGTCGTCGTCGTAGTCGTAGTCGTAGTCGTAGTAGTCGTAGTAGCAGTCGTAGTAGTAGTCGTAGTAGTAGTCGCAGTAGTAGTCGCAGTAGTAGTAGTAGTAGTAGTAGTAGTAGTAGTAGTAGTAGTAGTAGTAGTAGTAGTAGTACTACTACTACTATGCTGTGCTATGTTATGCTGTGCTAATGCTGCGCTGCGCTATGCTGCGCTGCGCTAAGCTAAGCTAAGGTAAGCGATGCTATGCTAAGCTAAGATGAGATAAGCTAAGCTAAGCTAGGCTAAGCTAAGCTGGGCTAGGCTAGGCAAAGCTAAGCTAAGCTAAGCTAGGCTAGGCTAAGCTAAGCTAAGCTGAGAGGAGATAAGCTAAGCTAAGCAAAGCTAACCTAAGCTAAGCTAAGCTAATCTAAGCGAAGTTAAGCTAGGCTAGGCAAAGCTAGGCTAAGCTAAGCTAGGCTAAGCTAAGCTAAACTAAGCCAAGCTAAGCTAAGCTACGCTACGCTAGGCTAGACTAAGCTAAGCTAAGACAAGCCAAGCCAAGCCAAGCCAAGCTAAGCTAAGCTAAGTCAAGCTAGGCTAGACAAAGCTAAACTAAGCTAAACTCAACTAAGCTAAGATGAGATAAGCTAAGCTAAGCTAAGCTAAGCTTAGCTAAGCTAAGCTGGGTGAACCCAGGGGGCGCAACTGGGGGAACCACGGGGCGGATCCTGGTGGAACCGCCTGGGGTGTGGAACACTGCCCGGCCCTTTAAGCCAGCACGGTAAGAACCCTTCTAGGCAGAGCCTGGGTAGGGAAATACATGATTAGTTTATGAATAAATCAAGTTTTTTATGTTAATTCCCTGCATGTTCATGTATTTAAAACGGCAGCGTATGTTGTTCCCAGCCTGCTTAAGGACCACATCCCAGAGATAATTTCGAGCACCCGGAGATGTGTCAAAAGAGTGTCGAAAGAGCGTCGGAACAGTGTCGGGCGAGAGTCTCCCAGGGCCCGACACGTGAAAACCCTTGAGTTTCGGTACTTTTTTTGGCGCTCGAAATTCTGTCTGGTGATCAAGGCTGAAGTAGGTTGGAGCATCATTATCCTAGATGGTGTCCGAGCAGATGCGGTCGGAGGATCGCGCCGCATCGCCGATGCGTCGCCAATGCATCGCCGATGCATCGCCGATGCATCGGCGATGCACCGGCGATGCTGGCGATGCATCTAGCGCCATCGGCGTGGAAAAACTCAGGCACCATGTCGAGCCGCATCGTCGATGCGTCGGCGATGCGGCGCGACCCTTCGGCACCATCTGCTCGGACCCCATCTGGGAGGAGGCAGAAGAAACCTCCGTTCCGTGTTTTCTGCTTTCCGTTTCCAGGACGGGGGGGGCACGATTTGTCCGCCTTCCTCTGTGCAGAGACCCAGCCATAGGAGTGAGCAAGCAGCCAGTACAGGGGAAGTGAGAAGGAGAAGGCCTTGCCAGACGGCGGCGGCGGGGCTTCTCAGAAGGTCTCTGGTCTCCTGTATACTCGGGGAGACGTAAGACTCGGGTTCGGGGGACTCGGGTTGGCCTGATCAGGCCATCCTGGAAATAATGAGACACAACCTGAAATTGGATGCGAACCCCCGCTGCACACATCCCACGAAATCTGGACCGTCACAATCTGCAAAGCGTCGGCAAACCCGAGTTCTGGAGCACTCGAGTCCTGCGCGGCCCCCAACGCCAGCGCGCGGTCCGCACCGTGTGCTTGTCGCTCCCGTTCCGCTCCCGCGACTCCGGCACGCCCCTATACCTCGAAGTGCCTTTGCCTGCCGAGGGGTGGCGCATGCCTCGAGAGAGGGTCCACCTCTCGGGGGCGGCCAAGAGGGGGGTGTCCAAGAGGGGGGGTGCAACTCATGACCGGCGGTATGTGCGCGGCCCAGCGGGGGGGCCGGGGACGTAATGGAAGAAGAAGGGGCGCCATGAGATCTGGGGAGATATCATGGCCCCCGCCATGAATATCCCCCCCCCCCTAGTCACCACCCCCCTCTTTGCCGCCCCCGAACCTCCGAGGCCCATGCCGATGGAAGCGTGTGATGCCGGGGCACACGGGGGTCGGAGGACGGCGCCGCACGGCCGATGCCTCGGGGACGGCTGGCATCGGGGACGGCTGAACGCCGTGTCTCGCCATCGCCCCGGCGCCCGTCCCTCGTGCACGGGTCGGTGTCGCTTGGCTCACTCTCCGCAAGATGATCCAGGACGCTCCTCGATGGTCCTCGCCTAAATAGTACGCTCATGTCCGAGCAACGCCACTGGCCATCGCTCGGACGTCCATTCCCTGTGTTTTTTCGGTTTCGTGCGTGGCTTTTTCGCCAAATGATCAAGGATGCTCCTCGATGGTCCTCGCCGAAGGAAAAATGCACACGTCCGAGCGACGCCAGGGTGCCGCCGATGCACATGCGGTGCGGCGCAATCATACGATCCCATCTGCTCCAGCCCCACATGGGAAGCTTGGACTACTATGCCCCCCTGTCTTAACGGGCGAAGAACGGTGTAAAATAAACTTTTTCGCTGTCGGGGGCGCCTGCCCCTGGGCGGCTGGAAAATTTATACCCTTACGGTGGCACCGCAGGGGTATAAACTTCCCAGCCGCCCAGGGGCAGGTGTCCCCGACGGCGGAACGTTTATTCTATACCGTTCTTCGCTCGCTGAATGTCCTCCAATGGATACGTGCCAACAGAAAACATCGCCCGCGCGTTCCTTCGCGCTTTGCGCGTAAAAAGGTGGCGGCACGATGGACACAGTTCGCTTCCCGCACGGCTTGCACACTGTACTGCGCAAAGAACCTGCTTAGAGGAATAATGAACTGCATAAACATATTTCTCGGCAATCCCCGAAACTTTATGCTGCTCTTCCTCGATGCTCATGCCAGCTCACCGCCGGCACCCCTTCTTCTCGTTGGTGCAACACCACCCCTTCTTGTCTTCGCTCCATCCAGCCTCCCAGTTGGAATCCACCACCCCACCCCGCAGCATATTGAGGCGTAGTAGAATGCCAAGGGCTGCCTGGCAAGTATCCTGTGCTCTTCTACACAAGCCCCTCCTCTCACCGCAGAGTCGGGTGCATCCCCCCTCCCGAGGCCTCGATCCATCGTAGACTAGCCTGGCGAAGGACCCAGCCATATGCAGTTGTGAATAACGCAATTGTGGGTATCGTCTTCGGGGGAGCTCCCTATGGGGTCACGAAGCGTGTGAGAAGTGTGCCGACATGAATGGCAAGGACGCATGCGAACACCGCCACTGGGGCCTCCGGTGGGTCTCCGTATGGGGCCACGAAACGTGCGAAGGGTGTGCCAGAATGGGTGGCGGGGACGCATGCGAACACCGCCACTGGAGCCTTCGGTGGAGCTTCCTATGGGGCCACGAAGCGTGTGAGGGGACTCTCGAAATCGGTGGCGAGGAAGCATGCGAACACCGAAGGCCCCAATGGCATTGGGGCCTTCGGTGGAACTCTCTATGGGGCCACGAAGCGTGTGCGGGGTGTGCTGGGTGGCGGGGGCGCATGCGAACACCGCCACTAAGGCCTTCTGTGGAGCTCCCTGTGGGGCCACGAAACCAGTGAGAGGGTATGCCGAAAGGAAATGGCGGGGACGCATGCGAACACCGGCACTGGGGCCTTCGGCGGAGCCCCTCTGTGGGGCCACGAAGCGTGTGAGGGGTGTGCGCCAATGGGTGGCGGGGACGCATGCGAACACCGCCACGAGAGCCTTCGGTGGAGTTTCCTATGGGGCCACGACGCGTTTGAGGGGTGTGCCGAAAAAGGTAGCGGGGACGCATGCGAAGACCGCCACTGGGGTCTTCGAAGGAGCTCCCCGTGGGGCCACGAAGCGTGCGAGGAGTGTACCGAAATGGGTGGCGGGGTCGCATGCGAACACCGCGACTGGGGTCTTCGGTGGAGCTCCCTATGGGGCCACGAAACGTGCGAAGGGTTTGCCGAAATGAAGGGCGGGGACGCATGCGAACACCGCCAATGAGGTCTTCGGTGGAGCAGCTCCCTATGGGGCCACGAAACCTGCGAAGGGTGTGCCAGAATGGGTGGCGGGGACGCATGCGAACACCGCCACTGGAGCCGTCTGTGGAGCTCCCTATGGGGCCACGATGCCTGTGAGAGGGTATGCAGACAGGGGGTGGCAGGGCCGCATGCGAACACCGCCACTGAGGCCTTCTGTGGAGCTCCCAATGGGGACACGAAACGTGTGAGGGGTGTGCCGAAATGGGTGGCGGGGACGCATGCGAACACCGCCCCGAGAGCCTTCGGTGGAGCTCCCTATGGGGCCACGACACGTGTGAGGGGTGTGCCGAAATGGGTGATGATGATGGGAGGAGGGAGGAGGGAGGAAGAGAGGAGAAGAGAGGAGGAGAGGAACGCGGGGACCGTCTCTTCAAAACGAGGACCCAGCATCACAAGATGGTTGAAACAAACATTCGCGCTGAGGAGCCCAATATCCCTCGTAACAAACAATGAGCCCGCGTCCCCAGCATCTAAGACGGCTCAGGCAGACAACCACGGCCGCAACGATGGCTCAAGATTTTTTAAATCGCCCCAAGGTGGCTCAAGATGGCCTCAAGACGGCCCTAGATGCTTCCAAGAGGCCCAAGAGGGCCACAAGAGGACCCCCCAAGAGGGTCACCAAAAATCAGAATCCACCATCGTCTCCAGATTTGTTCTTTAAGTGTCGCGTACTCGCCTTGCCGGGCTGCCGTCAGCTCAAGACGGCCCAAAAAGCCCCTCAGATGGTTCCAGGCCCGACATACCCCCAAGGCCACCCCGCGGTGGCACAAGAGACGCCAAAGCAGCCCCAAGACGGCATCTAGACCTTCGACGGCCCAATACGGCTCCCAGGCATACACTCCCACGACGGCACCAAGGCAACCCATACAGCGCTAATTTGGCCCCAGGACGGCCCGACCGAGAACGGCCAAAGAGGGCCCCAGGACAGCCACAAGACAGCCCAAAAGCTTAATGGGAGCTGCTCAAAAATCAAGACGAAAAGGTGTCCCATGTGACGGCTTTCATCCTCTTCCTCCTCATCCTGTTGCTCCTCCTCCTCCTCCTCCTCCTCCTCCTCTTCATCATCGTCCTCATCATCCTCATCACGGGTCTCCCACGCCTGCGGGCATGAGGAATCACACGTGACAGCCGCCCGTGCCGCCTCGAACAGACGCCACCCAAAATGATGGGCTGGCACTATGGCGGGACATGCCGCAGGCAGCTGGATACCCTGCGTCACAATCAAAAGGTTTGGATGAAACTTCTGGGCAACCCATCAACTTGCTCGAACAACACCACACCTTCTTGTCCGGGGACCAGCCAGCTTTCCAATTCGAGTACCCAGCGTTGCAATCATACGGCTCGGACGCGGTCTCCGGGCATCCCTTTTGCTCGTTGCGGCAACACCACGTCTTCTTGTCTTCGGACCATCCCGCCTGCCAATTCGAATACCCAGCCTCGCAGTCGTATGGCTTAGACGGCGGCGCCACGCAGCCCACGTGCTTGTTGGAGCAGCACCAGCCTTTCTTGTCCGCAGACCATCCCGCTTCCCAATTCGAGTAGCCGGCGCCACAGTCGTACGGCTCGGACGGCGCTACCGGAGCGGGCGGCGGCGGGGGCGGCGCCACGGAAGCCGGCGGCGGCGGTGGGGGCGCCACAGGAGCTGGCGGAGGCGGCGGCGGAGGTGGTGGGGGCGGAGCCACGGGCCTAGGCGGGGGGAGCGGTGGCGGGGGCGGCGGCGGCGTCGTCGGGCACCCTCTGCCTGCCTGCAAGCAGCAAGTGACCCTCTTGGACACCTCCCAAGACGGCGGGTCACCCTCCGCGCAGTCGACCTTTTTCTCCGTGGTCGTCACTGGCGGTGGCGGTGGGGGCGGGGGAGGCGGGGGGGGCGGAGGCGGCGGCGGGGGGGGCGGGGGTGGGGGCGGAGGCGCCTGGGTGGTGGTCGTTCTCTTGGTCGTCGTGGGAACATCAGGCGGAGGCGTCATTGCCAGCAGCGGTGGTGGGGTAGTGATGGGAACCGTAGTGGTCGTCGTCGTTGTGCTGGTTGAGCCCATCAGGAACCAGCCGAGCAGCGGGAGCAACAGCAGCGACAGCAGAAAGGGGATCACGCATAAGCAGAGGCAGTTGGGGCCACGGCGGTGTAGGGGCAATATGCTCGAGATGACCGTCTCCGACCGTACCTCCGGGCCGCTCGCCCCCATGCCAACATACCTGTACGTTGTCTCCTGCACGTAGTCGCCAGCTGGCCCCACGTAGGTTTGGGTCTGGGGTGGGCAGCCACCCGCAAGGCCGAAGCCACCAACGCCGCCGTAGCCGTAATCAGCCGAACCGCCGCAGCAGCCCGCGTCGCCGCCGTACGCGCCGCCGTAACCTGCGCCACTGCCACAGCAGCCCGCGTCGGCGCCATACGCGCCGCGATAGCCCGTGCCCACGCCGCCGCTGCCAAAGCTGCCGCCGCTGGCGTGAATCATCCCTGTGAGAACGGGCAGAACAGCGTCGGGCCTGGCACGCGAGTGGCACTGGAGCCTCAGTGGCAATATTCGGACGGCTCGTAACCTGCGACCTGCAAGGCCGCCGTGCAACCAGGAACGGAACCGCTCCTGGGTCTTCTCGCAAAGCTCCCGCGTCAAGCGGCTCTCGTCGCAGGGGGGTGGACTTCCGTCGTCGTGACTTTTCAAGACGTGCCCCCTGGGCCCCCCAAAACTTGCTTGATGTCGGATAAGTTGATGGAGTTCTCCACATGCCCGAGCTGCGCTCTTAGAGACCGAACTTGAGGAACAGCACACGAACGTCCCAAGTAGTATGGTGTCGCTCCCCTCGGAGGGACCATGTAGCGACTTTGATGAATCAGATCAGACGAATGCGAATGCGAATGCCATGATATTGCGAAGGCTATGTTGTGCCGTGGCATGGCACGCTGGTCTAGGCAAGAGGATCATGTATCAAAACGCGCAAGTCGGATGCTAGCATGTGCCACGCTATGCGGACAATATGCGATGATAGCTTGACGGAACATGAATGACGCCTGAGCTAGCCTATGCGATGCAAGGCTGGGCAACGATACTACGACTCTGTGCTAAGCACTGGTCTCTGGTTCAACGCCATGATATACCGTGCGGATGGTCATGCCAGGACATGCTGCGCAAAATTGCGCGACGATGGAATACGCCATGAACCTGACCGGACAAGAACGGGAAGCGTCGCTTTAGTCCACCAAGCATGTGGAAAATGCTCTGTTGTTGTTATGCCGCGCAGGTATGCCGTGGCGCGCGTCTCGGCGTGCGTGCGGGGTGTGTGTTGCTGTGCTCCTGTGTGTTCTGCCGTGCTCCTGTTCTGCCGTGCTTCTGTGTTCTGCCGTGCCTCTGTGTGCTCTGTGTGTTCTGCCGTGTTCCTGTATCTGCCGTGCGGATCGTCGCGGTGGTCGTTTTGGCAGAGCTTCTAGGCGCACACGGCAGAACAAGATGAGGAGCACGGCAGAATAGGCCCCAAGAGCGAAGGAGCACGGCAGAGAAAGACAAAGAACACGGCAGAATAGACCCCAAGAGCAAATGAGTACGGCAGAATACACCCCAAAAGCTAAGGAGCACGGCAGAAAATGACCAGGAGCACGGCAGAATAGACCTCAAGAGCTAAGGAGCAGGCAGAAAAAGACCAGGAGCACAGCAGATTAGGCCCCAAGAGCTCAGGGGCACGGCAGAAAAAGACCAGGAGCACGGCAGAATAGACCCCAGGAGCTAAGGAGCAGGGCTGGATATGCCTCAAGTGCGAAGGAGTACGGCAGAGAAAGACCAGGAGCACGGCAGGATAGACCCCAAAAGCTAAGGAACACGGCAGAGAATGACCAGGAACACGGCAGAATAGGTCCCAAGAGCGAAGGAGCACGGCAGAAAAAAACAGAAGCACGCCAGAGTAGACCCCGAGAGCTGAAGGAGTGCGGGAAAATAGACCCCAAGAGCGAAGGAGCAAACCAGAAAAAGACGAGGAGCACAGCAGAATAGAACCCAAGAGACAAGGAACACGGCAGAATATGCCCCAAGTGCGAAGGAGCACGGCAGAACAAAAAAGAGGATCACGGCAGACAAAGACCAGGAGCACAACAGAATAGGCCCCATGAGCGAAGGAGCACGTCGGAAACAAACCAGGAGCATGGCAGAATAGACTCCAAGAGCTGCCGAGCACGGCAGAAAAAGACCAGGAGCACGGCAGAATAGACCCCAAGAGCTAAGGGGCACGGCATAATAGGCCCCAAGAGCGAAACAGACGCCAGAAAAAGACCAGGAGCACGGCAGAAGATGCCCCAGAAGCTAAGGACGAGGGCAGAAGAGACCGAAACACAGCAGAAAAGGCCCGAGGAGCCAAGGAGTACGACAGAAAAGACCAGGAGCACGGCAGAAGAGGCCCGAAGAGCGAAGGAGCAAACCAGAAAAGGACGAGGAGCACGGCAGAATAGAACCCAAGAGACAAGGAGAACGGCAGAAGATGCCCCAAGTGCGAAGAAGCACGGCAGAAAATGACCAGGAGCACGGCAGAATAGACCCCCAGAGCTCAGGGGCACGGCAGAAAAAGACCAGGACCACGGCAGAATAGACCCCAGAGCTAAGGAGCACGGCAGAAAAAAGACCAGGAGCACGGCAGAATAGGCCCCATGAGCGAAGGAGCACGGCAGAAAAAAAACAAAGAGCACGGCAGAATAGACCCCAAGAGCTGAGGAGCACGGCAGAAGAGGCCCCAAGAGCGAAGGAGCATGACAGAAAAACAACAGGAGCACGGCAGAATAGACCCCAAGAGCTGAGGAGCACGGCAGAAGAGGCGCCAAGAAAGAAGGAGCATTGCAAAACACGACCAGTGACCAGGAGCACGGCAGAATAGACCGCGAGAGCTAAGGAGCACGGCAAGATAGATGCAAGAATACAACATAATACGCCCCCAGGAAGAAGGAGTATGCAAGAAAAACACAAGGAGCACGGCAGAATAAACCCCGAAAGCGAAGGAGCACGGCAGATAATGCCCCAAGAGCTAAGGAGCACGGCAGAAAACGACCAGGAGCACGGCATCATAAGCCCCAAGAACAAAGGATTGTGACAGAAACTGGCCAGGAGCATGGCAGAATAGACTAGAAGAGCGAAGGAGCACGGCACAAAAAACAACGAGCATTTCAGAATAGACCCCAAGAACAAAAGAGCACGGCAGAATAGACGTCAAGAGCGAAGGAGCTTTAGTTTCGCCGGCCATGCTCCGCCCGATTTGTTTGAGGATGTATGCAGCGAGAACGCGATTTTAAACATGAGAGGTATTGAAACCGCCACTCCAAGATATCATGTTTGTTAGGACGTCTCAGGCGAGACGCTAGTTTTTGAACATCTGTCGAATTCGCGGGTTCCCATGTTTAAGGGATGTCTCAGGCGAAACGCTTATTTTTGATGAAATCGATGTTGTGAACATTTCATTTTTGTAAGGATGTCTCACGCGAAATCGCCATTTTGGATCGTCTCGAGGGCGCTCCTGGGGGTCAAATTTGGGCTTGTTTGGGGCCTTCGGGGGCCTTCTTGATGCCTTACAAAACCGTTACAGTCCGATGTGACACACATTCATTTGTTCAGGATGTCCCTATCGAAATCGTCATTTTTTGATGACTGGCTTAAACCGTCTAGAAGCCTTTTCAGGAGCGATCCCCAGACGATGTTGAAACAGCAATGTTCAAAACGATGTTGTTGGATTTGTTATTTTTTTGAAGATGTCCCTAGCGAAATCACTATTTTCAGCAACCTGAAGGGCGCTCTTGGGGCCATGTTGTGGCCTTCTTTTGCTTCCTGTTGCCCTCCGAAAATCATTACGATGCGATGTCGCACGCATCAATGTTTTGAGGATGTCCCTAGCGAAATCGACATTGTTTGAAGGCTGACTTGAGCCGTCTGGAAGCCTTTTCAGAAGCAAAGTCAAAACTATGTAAGAACAACAGTTTTCAAGTCGATGCTGGTGTATGTTTTCATTGTTTGAGGATGTCCCTAGCGAAATCGCTATTTTCGGAAGTCCCCCAATCGTTCTGACAGCCATCTTGACGTGCTTTTGGGCATCTCAGTTCCTCATCTTGAGGCACTTCGAGAACGATACCAAGACGACGTTGAGGACATCTCATTTTGTTGAGGATGTCCCTAACGAAATGCAAATTGTCTGCCGTGCTCTTCGTTCTGGTCCGCCGTGCTGCCGCTCGTTGTCTGAGGATGTCCCTAGCGAAATCGCAATTCTTAACATAAGAGTTAGTTCAAGACTTCAGTCGTCATCTCATTTCTTCGAGGATGTCCCGAGCGAAACGCACATTTTCACAGACGGCGACATTTCGCTGTCATCAACTTTTCGAGGATGTCTCGAGCGAAACGCTTGCTCCCCGTATCCTAAGATGGGGTTATTGTTATTACTTGGGCGCCTCCTACTTCCTCTCCCTGTTCCCCATATCCTAAGATGGGTTTCTTGTTATTACTTGGACGCCTCCTACTTCCTCTCCCTCCTCCTCTTTCCTCCTCCCCTCCTCCTCTTTCCTCATACTCAGACCTACTCATACTCAGACTTACTCATACTCAGACTTACTCAGACTCAGACCTACTCATACTCAGACTTACTCACACTCAGACTTACTCATACACAGACTTACTCATACACAGACTTACTCACACCCATACGTACTCATACACAGACTTACTCATACCCAGACTTACGCATACACAGTATTACTCATACTGAGACTTACTCATACCCAGACGTACACATACACAGACTTTCTCATACACAGGCCTACTCATGCCCAGACTTACTCATACACAGACTCACTCATACACAGACCTACTCATACTTAGGCATACTCATACTCAGACCTACTCATACTCAGACTTACTCAACACACATCAGACTTGGAGGATGTCTCAGGCGGGGCGCTGGTTTCAGCACCCCTAAGGGGAGCCGCCAAGGGTGTTTGCACGGGCTCGTTCGCGGCCATTTTGTGGGGATGTCTCAGGCGGTTTGCTTGTTTCTGGGCTCAACATCCTTCGCTTGGAAAGCAGATTGTGAGGATGTCTCAGGCGGGGCGCTGGTTTCAGCACCCCTATGGGGAGCCGCCAGGGGTGGTTGCACGGGCTCGTTCGCGGCCATTTTGTGGGGATGTCTCAGGCGGTTTGCTTGTTTCTGGGCTCAACATCCTTCGCTTGGAGAGCAGATTGTGAGGATGTCTCAGGCGGGGCGCTGGTTTCAGCACCCCTAAGGGGAGCCGCCAGGGGTGGTTGCACGGGCTCGTTCGCGGCCATTTTGTGGGGATGTCTCAGGCGGTTTGCTTGTTTCTGGGCTCAACATCCTTCGCTTGGAGAGCAGATTGTGAGGATGTCTCAGGCGGGGCGCTGGTTTCAGCACCCCTAAGGGGAGCCGCCAGGGGTGTTTGCACGGGCTCGTTCGCGGCCATTTTGTGGGGATGTCTCAGGCGGTTTGCTTGTTTCTGGGCTCAACATCCTTCGCTTGGAGAGCAGATTGTGAGGATGTCTCAGGCGGGGCGCTGGTTTCAGCACCCCTAAGGGGAGCCGCCAGGGGTGGTTGCACGGGCTCGTTCGCGGCCATTTTGTGGGGATGTCTCAGGCGGTTTGCTTGTTTCTGGGCCCAACATCCTTCGCTTGGAGAGCAGATTGTGAGGATGTCTCAGGCGGGGCGCTGGTTTCAGCACCCCTAAGGGGAGCCGCCAGGGGTGGTTGCACGGGCTCGTTCGCGGCCATTTTGTGGGGATGTCTCAGGCGGTTTGCTTGTTTCTGGGCCCAACATCCTTCGCTTGGAGAGCAGATTGTGAGGATGTCTCAGGCGGGGCGCTGGTTTCAGCACCCCATAAGGGGAGCCGCCAGGAGTGTTTGCACGGGCTCGTTCGCGGCCATTTTGTGGGGATGTCTCAGGCGGTTTGCTTGTTTCTGGGCTCAACATCCTTCGCTTGGAGAGCAGATTGTGAGGATG